TCCCCCCGCGCCCCACCACTCCGCGGCGCCCTGCGCTGGGTTGGCTGGAACCGGCTGCGTCCGGCTCGGGGCAGCTCCCGTCGCTCCTCACAGGGGCAGCCTCCTTTCTGCCAAAACGAGGGGTCCCACTGACACCCAGTACACAGCACTGTGGACACTGGTCAGGGTGCTGGGAGGCCTAACTCCTAACAGGAAAAAACTTAGGAGCTGATTTAGATTATCTGCTCCATTTGCTAGAGGATCTGTGACCAAAAACATCACAGACTGAGCCTGCTCTGCCCAGCCTGTGAGCTCAATAGTAGGGTGTGCTGAGAAGGAAAAAACTGATGACATAATTTGTCATGAAGTGTAAGAACTCCAAAGTCAATTAATACCTGACACCATAAATCCCACAAATCTGCCTCTTCTCTTTTTGGTAACTTTTAGGCCAACTTAATGTCAGTTGAGGAAATTACCTATTTTTTCACAATTTCCAAGCGGAAACTAAATTCTCATGGATGCACAACCTAACACTGCACAGGCCATCTCTTCCTCAAAATTAACCAGTTGAGGGTATGCACAAGGTATGCACGAGTCGAGGGTATGCATATGATGTCTGCAGAAACTACCTGTTATCAAACACGTACTTGAAAAACATCACAAGCTTATGTCTGCCTATGCAGTTAGACTAAATTTACTCATTCAAAGTCTGTAACACATAAAACTAAAAGTTCAAGATTGTATATTTTTCAAAATACCACTACAGCCTTATGGCAGTTTTTCTGAGTTGATACAGATGTTACCAGAATGAAAACCAGATCTTTCCATTTGCACATTCATATGCCTCTGGTTTATTCAGCAAATCTTAAGTGTTATCCTTAGGGCTGAGATGAACTCCAGTATTTCTCTCCAGAGACACCACAGCCAATGAGCCAATGCAGCATGTCTCTCTCTCTGTGTTAACATAAAACAGAGAAAGGCTCTTTGCCAATACATAAAAGGAATATCTGCTATTAATGACTTCCCCTAGCAGCCTAATCACAATCCATACTTGGAAAAAAATCCACACCTATTAACAAAATCTTGAGTTACAGTTCAGTGACTGTATTTTCTTGACATTATTTTTTTTTTAACTAGTGTAAATATATAAACTCTGTAGCATTGTGGAGCAAAGTGATGTCACTTATATCATTACCTCACATAAATCAGTTTATCCAAGAAAGAAATGGAGAGAAAATAATTATGAAGACAGATGGACTGGTTTAATGAACTCAATGATCTCCCTCTTTTCTATAATCTTCATGGCTTCTGCATTATGAACTAAGAGGTAATAACAAATAAAATCAGAAAACAAGAAAGAATGTGAACAGTGAAGAAACTAAAACTGCTACCCCTCCCCTATGAAAGCCCCACAAAGTTTCTTCTGAAATCTTCTACCCACAAACCAAGGAACCACTAAAAAAGCCACCAACTGTAAAAACAAAACAAAACAAAAAAACACCAAAAAACCCTCTTTTCTCGGCTTACTATTAAGAAATAGGCTTCTAATCCAACATGGCTATACTGTGCATATAAGCCTGAATGGAGACTTTCTTCACCAAGCAGGAGAAAAAAAGCAAGTTACAGATGAAGGATTACAGACAACTGCTGCATACCACTGACTATCCAGTAGCACAGAAATAGAAGGAAACTCCTGGAACAAGCCAATAACATGATACTAATGTAAACATTAATATGTTCTTATGGAATACGGCTGAATGAGAAAGAAACAAATAAATATATTTCTAATACGTGTACAAAGAAAAGTATAAGGGTCATATTTGTGTCATTTTGGAAACAGCACATCTCTCACTACTCTATGTTCGACATTTGATGTGTGAACAGATGCTTTGATACATTCTCCACCAAATTGTATTAAATCTAATCCTGTACTCTTTTACAGGTAGAAGTTCGAGGCTTTGAGTCCACTGAGTTAAAAAAGTAAAGCATGAAAACACTGCTTATATTTTCTACAGGAATCTACAAAACGTTTCTTTTAACATTTACAAAAATACTGGTCAAGGTTAGACCTAAATTGTACAACCCTCAGTACTGAGGGAATTTGTTTCCCATACAGATACAGTATATTTATCATAATCTTTTTCAGAGTTAGAAGCAACACATCTACTTCTGCTACTCTATATTCTGTAGCATAATGATGAATATTTACAATATTCTTTTCAATGTTCTCTGTACTATGGTACATTTCATAGTGTTATCTGAATAACTTAAATGAAGTTTACAGCATAATAAAGCAGTTAGGTGAAATTATTAAGTATCAATAACGATATAAGTCTCATATGTATGAAAAGTAATTAAATATAAGAAGCTACCACCATGACAGTTAGGGGCAGATGTACAGTGAAATTCAACCAGGCAAATGATCAAATCCAATGAGACATAAAAATAGTTTCTTCACTATGCTAATTTTTGTGCATGTGTGTATATTTAAGGGATAATGCATTTTACTATATAAATTAAAACTTACATTATTAACTACTATATTGTCATCATTCCATGACACAGCCTTCAGACTGTTAACACTTTCTACAGAAAATAAGCTGGTTTTATACCTGCTACTTCAATATTACTATTCTGCAGTTATTTGC